GACCGATATTCCGCCAATGTACCAATGGTCAACATATTGGCCGAGTGTTGGGCGTTATATTGACAGAGATATCTGCCAATAGTCGGTCGATATGTCGACCGACACTCAGCCGATATCTCAGTCGATATCTTGACTGATATATCTTGGTCAATATATCAGCCAAGTGACGGTTGATCTGTCGACTGACATATCAGTTAAGTGTTGGTCGATATGTCGACGGATACATTGGCCAAGTGTCGGTTGATATGTCAATCGATACATTGGTTGAGGGGTGCACAAATTACACATGATCAAAGTGCAGCTTATTATCTGGTCACCTTCTTTGCTTTTCCTTGTCCAAGTGTTGTACTTTCCTTTCAAGGGAAGAGGAACCTGTAGACTTCTGCTTGTTTCTTTCCTGTCCAGAGGTATGGCTTTTTTTTGAACTTTGAGCAAATAAATAAATATAATTTGTCATTGTTGAGCTGTTTTAAAAGCACATTAATTTTAGAAGTTTAAGATGATAAAAACTGGACAGCATTGAAATTGACTGCTCTTTGAGTAGCAAACTTGCTAGTCTAAACTTGTACCTTAAATTATTTAGATTGAGTCAGTAGGTTTTGTATCATGCAATAACATTTTGTACTTAGCAAGATGCACAATGTTCAGTTCCATAAAATATCCATACTCTCCCAACAGAAGGGATTAAAATTTCCTGGGGGGGTGGGGGGTTCTGTGAGACCAAAAAATTTAAAGAAATGTATGAAGCTCAATTGGAATTTCCAGAGGGGTGGGGAGGTATGGATATTTTCTGGAACTACACAATGTACGGGAGTTGAGAGCATAACTTATGTGCATGTAGGCAAGCGTTTACCCCAAAAGCATGAAAAAATATATTAACCTCTAACTGACTGAGCGTAAAGGTTGTACTAGGAAATATTGGTCTGAGGTTGTGGCAGTATGGAAGGGGTGCATTGAGGTCCGTACAAAAACAACTCGAGGGCCATTATTCCCTAGTGCAGCTCAAGCAAGCTTAAGGTTAGTAAGCAGTGTATTATATGACTCATTTTGAATTTGCGGGGCTTTCAAAAACAAAACTACATGGCTTTGACTGTTTCCATGGAAATGGTCCACGAGACAAAGTCTCAACCATGGAAGAACCAATCACAAGGTTCAGAATTACCTCAAGACAAGTGAATAAATGTATAATTTAAATCATAAATGAATACATCAGATATTTCTTGGTGAAAAACAACTGAAATAATTAAATCAGCTGAATTGTCAGAGTTCTTTAATCAGATGTACATTGCTGTGATTTTACAATTTGAGGGGGGTCAATTGAGGTACATGTACACTGAAACCTCAATACTAAAAATTAAAATCAATTGAAAAAACTGCTTTAATGAGACTACTGAATGAAATAATTTTAGTCAGTGATTTCTTTGAATGACAATTAATGTCATCAAATGCCAGTCTAATGTTATATTTACTGCCACTGCTAAACAGTGTAATACATACCTTGGTGAGGCAGTCTGCACACAACTTTCCTTATTTGGGGAGATCCTGTTAAATTTTGGTTTACAGACCTTTTTTCTTTCAAATTGAATGTTTTTCTCTTTACAATCTTCGCTTTTCTTTGAGTCCTCTGTGATGTCCTTATTATTTGGATCACTGTTCAGTGACTGCTGCTTCTCAACCTTCATAATCACTGGGGGTCGCCACTGGTCAAAAGCACTCTGTGCATATCCTGACTCGGCAGTATTATGCATGCACTGCTGAGCACAGTGTTGTTTCTTTGCCTGTGCTTTATGTCTTCCACTGACAGAGTTAGGATGAAAGTTAAACTCAGATTGAGAGTGTGAAGGTAGCTCGGCAGTGTGACTGCTAGTGTAACTTATCCCTCCATAACGCATATGTTTTCCAGGGAGATCCAAGTCACTCTTGGGCTCAACACAGCCTTGCAGCAGCTGCTGCTGCTGGCGCTGCTGTTGTTGGTGTACAGGTGGTAGTGGCATCATGAAAGGATTCATGTGGAATGTATTTTGTGAGTAGTCACAGCCATGTAGCAAGGGTGGACCCAAAGGCAAATCTCCAGTTGATGGTGCACTTTGCCAACTGGTTGGACTTGCTACAATGTCTGAAGAAAAAAAACCAAACCTATAAGACTAACGATTTTCATTCACTAGATTTCACCAGTCAAGAGTCATGCATCAAAATGCAACATCTGGCCAGCTAGAACTCTTCCTTGACTTTTCACTGAGTTTTAAATCATTAATGACAAATTTACATGGATGATTGTTTGAGCTACTTTGAATTCATACATAAAAAAATTATGTATTTAACCTCTTTAATTTTTGCTTCATGACATCAGTTGGAATTAATATTAATTGGTTTTTCCAGCAAATATCCCTGATCAAGAGTTAGATTCATAAATATTGAAACTTATTTTAATTATTAATATGCATTAGTTATCTCTACCTGAAGACTGTTTGTTCCTTGCTGGGGAGAGTGCTGTCTCGAGTTTTCTTTTTCTCACAATACCTGGTCTTTTTGACTTAGGAGTAACTACAAAAGAGGTTGGTGGTATAATGTTACACCTCAGACAGTAGTATGATAACTTTCATAAAGAACAAAAATCTAGAAGATGAAATGTGTAAGGCCTGCGGTGGTGCAATGGCACCACCATGGTTTACCACCATCAATTTGTACTTGAATGCACTGCGATCTACTTATTTAACAAAAAAGATTCCATGTTGCTGTGCATCTGTTCAGTAGTAGATCACACATGATGTCACAATGTGGTATGAACAATAAAGCAGCACACAAGCTAGCTGTTAGGCAAGTGTGTCACTGATGTTCTTACCACATTTTGACCTCTTCTGTGATCTATTACTGAACAGACACACATGCAGCAACATGGAATCTTTTTGTTTATATCACGATGAAACCGAAAAATACTTATAATGATGTCATCTATGTGTCTGTCCTCCAATAGATCATTAAAGTAAGAACCAATCAAAATGTGAGAATAATTTCACATTAGTATCACCCAACTAGTGGACTAATGCAAATCCTGCATTTTGATTGGCTATGCTACTAGAGGACTATTAGTAATAGTCCTTGAGTAACGAAATTGGCGCAACCAAGCGTGACGCTTTCTTTCGTTTTATTCCCTAATAAATATTTCTTTAACTTGCATTTGCTAACTTTATTATTGCCTTTTCTGTCTGACTAGTTGGGTGATAGTAAAACAATTATAAGACCCTTCGCCCTTAAGGGCCATGGGTCGATAGCCCATTCGGCTTCGCATTGGCTATTAACCCGTAGCCCACAAGGGCTATGGGTCTCATTGTTAATTATTATTAATATAATATCAATCACCATAAGCTATGGGCTGATTACAGTTCCCAATAGTTTTTCACTCAGCTGTTTTCCCCCAAATCAATGACTATTACTTTCACACTGACAGCATTGAAAGTGGCTGCATGCTCCCTTAGATGTTCTTCTGGTTATCTAAACTTGTTGAAAGTGATGTTTCCCCCAGTGACTGACTTAATCCCCCATTTTCAATGACACAGTCAGTGTAATTTTGCATTGATGAGTACCACCATGTGATCTCTCCACTTATGGGTGGAAAAGACCGTACATACAAACAAATTCAATGTTTCATATATTTTGAGTGCTTTTCTCATACTCTATAGGTGTACCAGTGAGTGTGACTGCATGTCACTGTCAATAAACTCAACCGGCATATTCCAAATAGTGAAATGATTGTGACCTCACTGGTATATACTACAAGTCATGTAGTAGGGTCAAAGAGGCTCTCCACAGGAGACTTATCAATGAACACAAAGAGTCAGTGGAATAAAAATTCCTGATGCATGGATGCTGGTGATCATTGAAGCAAAACCACTGGTACTCAGGTCTAATACTAATGCATTAGACCTGAGTATGGTTATAACTTTATTGATAAATACCAGCAAACTGTCCTGGCTGTGTTATCAGTCGATTCACTGCACTTCCCAGATCATACTCCAATGTTAGGCACTTGAACACTAGCTCATCAATGTACTGCTCTTGCATCAAGAGTCTCACTGAATCTGAAGCATATTTGAAACAGAACCACACGTTTAATAATTTATGTATGTAAGTGTTCAAACTTTCACTCAAAACAATATGCTATGACAAACTAGTGAGACAATCTCAGATTGTGCAGACTGCAATTGATAGCTCTGGCACTTTAGTAAGTCCCATGAGTACCCACCCCTGCTTGGTTCACTTCCGGTTTGCAACTACCTTGGTAGTCTGCTAGGGCTTATTTCCCCTTAGCAATGAGTACGTTTCAAGGTCCGAAAATTACGTACAATTACTGTTTGTCACAACAGCTTTTAAATTTTACTCTGATGTTTTATGATGATTTTCATTCATTTTAAATTCAATAATAAGTTGAACAAACGTGACAATTTAGCTCTTCATGCCAACTTTGTAACTTGATACTTTTGTTTTCCTCACAAAGGTATGTAACATGAAACTCTTGTTTTCTCTAAAACACACCAAAGATGAGCTTGTTTTGGGGGATAAATGAAAGAAAGTTACATATCTGACGAAGAAATGGAAGAGAAATGATTTTTTTTGTCTCTTTTTCTGTTGCCACCTTTGTTGTTAACAATAAAACAATTCAAAATTAATACACAATATTGATTGATACCACTGGGAAGTGTTTCAATGAGAAGTATTGAAGGTAAACAGCGTTACTTGGCCGATATTATCCTGCATCGATGAATGAGTCTCCTCAAAGACTGATTAAATTAATTTGCCCTTTCCTTAGGTGCCATGGAGTCTGCAGCAATATTTGAGCACTTTCCTGGCTTCTTTTGTCACAAATTTACAATTTGCAGGATATTAAAGCCACTAACTCGAGAACTTTTTGGTCTCTCTTACAGACACAGTTAAGGCAAGAATTAAATAAGCCGCTAATGAGAACTTCACATTTCCCTTCTTTATTTAAACCCTGACAGACATACTATTGTAGTTTGAAAACAGATGAATCGACCTGATCTCTCACCCTATGGTGTCCAGATTGTGTCAATCTCATTTGGTCGCATTTTTGATGACGTTTGTTTTCATGGCAAAAAAGAAATCCAAATCTGGACTAGCCACTTGGACGACATATTCACGCGTACATCTAGATAGTCTGTAGTTCTCTTTCCACCATTTTTGAACGAAATTACCATGCAAAAGGGTTTCAAACAGAATTGGTTAGCAAAGTCATTAAAAGCGCTTCCTCTCTCGGTGATTTCTGAAAGGTGCATGGTTTTGGAATTTTAATTGCCTGGTTAGCGGGTTAAATGAATTAATGGAAACAAAAGTCACATTTAACTAGAGAATGTTAATTGGTCCGTCAAAAAAACACCAGAAAGAATGTTCAGTTAGTTTAAATCGGCCTAGTGAATAACAGTATTTTAAATGAATGTAAATGATTATGTTGTTCGGGTCCACTGAGGTCTGAGTTCATTAACAGGACTTTGTAAATATATAGCCAACTGGTCTGCCTCCTGCCAGTTGGGATTTTTAACTATTAGTCAGGGAGCATATGTAATCCCGTGGGATTTTTATGGTGAAAGCAAACCACCTACCTGGATGTGTCAGGGGGACCCTAAGGACCAGAAACAATGTTGTCGGCAATTTTGTAACCTGCACAAGTGGCCACTATGGGGGGTCTATTTACAGACCTATATGGCTTAACATGGAATCAAGGCTCGAATATAAAATGGAGTGTAACTACAATTAAACTACAATAAATTTCCACAAAAATACTAGAAATCTTTAATATAGTCTATCTTATACATATCCATAGACTTAAGTACTAAATACTGATCACGTGATCAACTCTGCACGAAAGTGAGGCTGGTAGTTTGTTGTTTTCAAATAAGCATCAAAAGCATACTTCTTTTTCTGGAGTTTTTCAGAAAAATGACTACAACAAGTGAACAACATGATAATATATATTGTCTACATAAATTCAACTACATTTGAATATGTTTTGTTCACTTAAGATGACATGGAAGTGAGGCTGAGCTCGCCTGCACTTGTTAGGCCTCGTCTAAGCGTTGAGCCAATGTCGTGCCGAACCAAATTCCTTTCCGAAAATTGGCGCTTTCAGTGCAAAGAAGAAATACAACTAGATTATGGAGACCTAACCAATTTGGCATTTAGAACCATTGCCGCGCTAGTGTTGCACTGTTGTCAAACCAAATGGATTATTAATCAATGTTTAGACCTGAGGCCTTAGCTAAGCAATATGTTAGCTATAATTAAGGTCTCTCCAAGGGCGTCATGTTAACCATAGCAGGTTTACAGGTAAATATAATTATTACTACCCAAAACCTAGTCAGGCCTTTGGTGATGTAGCCTGCGAATGCAGATGTATTTCTGGCTGTCACTTGGTTCCGCCGAAAAATAATGTCTGCGAACCCCAGCCAGAAAACGATTTCTGTGACGTAGGAATTCTAAGCCATTCACAGTTTAGCTCAAATAACCCCAGAACTACTGCGCAAGGTATTCGCTGTGAGGAACACTCGAGTTTCATTCTATCATGGAATCTGATTGGCCAAGGAGGAACAAAAGTCATTATGTCACAGAAATCGTTTCCTGGCTCCGGTTCGCAGATGTTATTTTTCAGCGGAACCAAGTGACAGTCGGAAATACTTCTACGTTCGCAGGCTATTGGTGATGATCACTGCTTTAAAAATAGCACAGCTGATCCCATAATGCATTGCGGTCTATAAAACATGGATGTCAGGTAAGAATCATTCATCATCCTTGTCCTCCTCACTGTCAGCGTCCTGCTCATCCAATGTTTCATCATCACAGCTATCATTCTCAGTCATATCGACATTGTCATACGCTTGTCCTGTCTCGTTGTTGCTGCAGCTGCATAGATCTGTGCAAGTGAGACCAGCCCTTCAACAGCTGCACCTGTTGTTTCCGCATTTTTCCTTCCCACAGCCACACTTGACAAGATAAAGAACAGCGTTGGGTGCTGGCTGCAGTCTTGTCATCACCAGCAACCATTTGTCTGAAATATAAAAGAATAAGGCAATGTTTTAAAGTCGTCTTGATCTATAGTGTTGAACTTGAGAGTTTATTACTATATCAACTGTTAATTTATAATAACCTTTGTCCTTTTTCCATCCATAGCTATCTGGCAATGGAAGGTCTGGATTAGGGACTTTGTCATTGGCCCAGATCATGGCTTGGTAATACGCTCGCTTAATGGCCTCTTGGAGAGCAGCTTGTACAGGCAGTAGTTGTTCTGATTTGGCCTGTTTTCTTCGAAAAAGGAGCCACCTCAGATCTTTCAAACTGGATATCTTAGTCTTGCCCAGGTAAAGTTGACACACTAGCTTCTCTATTGCATAGAACATGCCCACTGTGGGAAGGATGGTAGAGCCGAGATCTGCAAATGCTGTGACACACTCTTCATCAGCTTCAAGAAACGCTTTCCAGCATTCCAGCTTCCCTTTAAATGCAAAGTTTCCAGTGATATCAGCTCCGCTCCAGGCATGAAAGCCAGGTAGTGCTGCTGTTCTAGCTGTTCCTAGAGCACGGACAATTGGACAAAGCTGGATATTTCCGTGGCACTGTCCGCACATAGCTCTGGGTAATGTCTAAGGGCCAGTACAAACACATTGGTGTCCGGTGAGAAGATCTTGATACTCTTGGCTCTGAATGCAGTGGCATCTACTGCGTGTAGCAGGATTTTAGTATCTGCCTCCTCTTGGTCGCTATCGAGGTACGCCATATCCTTGTGTGTTGCACTACACTTACTGCTCCATGCAACCATCATGTGCAAACCATTCTGACATCCCTTCTCTAAAGTCTTGCTGGCAATATATTGCGTCAGTTCATCCTTAGTGCTCACATGAGCCAAAAGTCTGTTCATCGTTAGCTGCATAAGGAAGGATGTACTAGTTTTAGTATCTTTACCTCTACATCTGGCCCTATTCTTGTAGTACATTAGAAATAGGATCATTGTTTTTGGATGAATAACCGTTGATAGTATACCTTGGAAATCTGAGTGGTGTCGGTAATCTTGTAGCTGATAGGTTCCAAGCCCCCCTGACGAAATTTGCAAGTTGCGGTCTTTAAAGACAATGGTACATCATACCTAAAAGCAGAATAACGTGTCTATTAATGTGAGTGATTATAACTAATCTAAATAAAAAGGTTACAAGGTAATTATCAGCGGGAGTGACAAACCTATCAAAAATAAGATGAATTTCGTCTGCATCTCAGTACTTGTTGAAGATCGTCACAGTGAAATGATCGGCCAGATCCGAGCAGGTCTTGATTCAATCCAGTTTTCCAAGTGTTTGTACCTCAGCCATACCATCTACAATGGAAACCATGATCTGCGCATCCGCATTAGCCAACTGATCAGTGGGTTCAGCCTGCTCAACTGATCTGTCACTTGACAGCTTCTCTAGAATACTCATCAAGAAGCTCTTTGCAGAACAGTGCAGCATATTGCCGTTGGTGACAAACATTCGAAACATTCGGCATCTCTTACACTCCCACTGCCTCTTTGATGTCTATCTCAGGACGGGACTTGCAGATTACCATCATCCACGTGAAGAGACATCGATCTTCTTTTAGCTCGATGATTTTATCCTTTGTAGCCACCCTAACTGTTTTCCCAGTGATCTTCCACATTAGGAGCTTGCGCTTCTTCACCACATCCCAGATGCTCTTCTTGGCTGTCTTTATTGGTGCCTTAACGAATGTTCCACACAGCTTGTTACCAATGACACTTTGATTGCAGAGACCTTTCTTCACTTTCTTGGGCATGCGCACTTTCTTCACTAGGTTGAACAGATCAGGGCCTTCTACTTTAAAGGGGTTGGTGAAGCACTGAATACTAGCGGTCAGCTGCTGGATGTTCCTTTCTTCATGTAAGCTGACAGCAGTGGTGAGGTTGTGATGGCTAGTCTGTGTCTAATGGAAGAAGTAGCTGCCATCAGCTTGGCTTGTTCTGCCAGTCTTGCTTAGGGAACTCAGGTGCAATCAAAAAATACTTCGTGCATGCAGTAGGATTCAG